AATTTTATTTTTTATTTATCCGCACGCTTGACATTTATACTGGGGTTGACACGTTAATGCGTTTTAATTATTTCATGCGTGGCTGAGCAGACCAATATTGGTTGAGATTCCTGCATTTATCATTGTTCCGTATATTGGCTGTTGCATCAATCCTGGCATTTGCGACTAAATTTTATAGATTACCTCTCCTGTTTATATAATTTTTATCTACTATAACATTTTCATAACTGTAAATTTGATTAGCCTGTCTTGTGAATCAATTATAATGATATAAATCAATAATCTTGGGATGAGATTCTGCAGAAGGAAGAAATAACAAGCTCCAAGATCTCAGTTTACTTGCGCAATGCTTCTGCTTTGACCGTTTGTTTTGTCCCGATTTTTTTTTTCATGTAGCAAGATCGTACAATATGGTCAGCTACAGACAGCATGAACACGTGGAGTGGTTCTAGGGCAAAGCCCTTCCATTGAAGTGAAATAAAAATGAACCAGAGCAGTTGAGCAAAAAACGTTGTTTCCGAGAAGCTCATAGACGAAGAAGCGGCAGCAGGTAAAGAAACACAGCAGCTGAATGGGCACTTTTCTGCCCATGCCCATGGTCGGGCTGTCCATTGAAGGGAACAGTTGTGCCCAGCTGTCTTTGAGGTGTTCCATTTGCTGGTGCATGCAGCGGTGCTCGTCGGTATTTCCGTTACAAGAAACTGCCTTCAAAGTCTCCGCTTTCAAGAAACAACGCACATGGGACCTCGACGAGTCTTTGGTGCGCTGGGCTTCCCTTGAGCTTATCCGCGCTCTCTGCTCCTTATTAGGAGGCGCATCATTTTAGGCCTGTCTCATGTGTTAAACTGATAATTACGCAAGTAATATCTGGCTTATGAAAATGCATCTTGTAAAAATTGTATTTATATTTATGTAGGTTTAGCTCATGCTTATGCATTTGGTGGAACGGTAATATATAAGTTTTGCTGATCCACATGAATGTTAGGAAACTATACCTAGACGTCTTGCTGATTGAGCTTGATCAACTAATTTTTCTTGCGTTCATGCTAACATCTGAAAAAGATTTTTCTAGTGCCTCACCAGTGTTTATGCAAATTACGTTAATGTCAACATTACACTTAATCTAGCTTCGATTCATTTTCATTTAAAATTCAATTTTACTCGGGAAATTCTGCTGTTTTTCCGTTCAACGTAACAATGGCTAGAGCAATCACTGCAGATTGTTATTTATCTCGTGTCGGGATTCCCGTGTGCTGACGCTGGTAACCGCGCTCTGCCATGAACAACTCGCTTCATGCGAACTTGCTTACTTTCTGTTACGTTCTAATTGAAATGTGACAGCTAATGTTATTTCATTGTAAACATTTTGCGTAAAAAGGCACCGATTTTTATTTCCTAAATACTGTAGATATAATTCCGATTGATAATTTTATGATTTTTGATTTACATTTTAATGTTGATATGAATTTCGGACACCTTATGAAATTGGACACTGATTATATTTAATTATGTGTAATAGACATATATAATTACGAATAGAAATTCGCTCATTATTTCTGAATATAACGTTTAATTCACCTCAAAGTTTCACGTATTTTTATTCAATTGGTCTTATGCGCCTTGGAACGCGCTCGGCCTCTGAAGTAGATCAGGGTTCGTGGGAAAGGCCATCTTATTTCGCTCTCATCGTCAGCGTAAAGATTCGGTTTTCTTTTGGTTGTGCCGCGTCGGCGTCGTTTGTGTGGGTCTTTTGTGGCTCGAATTTTCGCTGTTTACCTCGGGCAAATGACTCAATGAGTGAGTGAGTGAATGGAAGAGTGAGTGTTTAATGATGCCTGCTCAATCTTAGGGCTGCTCATGACGTGCTCACCATGCGGGCGCTCTCTCACTCGATCTGCCCCACTTCAAAAGAATGAATTTGCTGCGCTTTGATTCAGTTTGAGAATATATATTATATAAGGATTTTTGTACCACTTGTAAAAATTTGAAGTTTGAGCTATTTTGATTTTAGTTATAATGCTGGTGCAGTTCACCACACGCTTTAGTTATGAAGACCTGAGGCCTTTTCCATTATGATTGAGTAAAGGAGTAAAGGCCGTATCTATTATTTCCACGTAAAGCTGAGAAAGCGCAACACGCGTAATATTTCCGCGTCATATAATTAATTACGTTCCAAAGTGATTTTCTTCTGGCCGTCCTCTTGAGAGGTAGCCAATATAGTTCTTGATTGCCTGTGATATGTGCTGCTGAATTAGCTATCGATGTGGTCACTGCTGGTCTCAATCCAATACTGGGTAATAGAAACCTTGTATTTTTCTATAAATATTTAGATTTGAGTATTGACAGATTTCCTATTAGTGTTTGGTTGTATTGACAAAAATATCACTCGTTGTACTTGAGTTTAATTAGATCATTTTCCTGTGATGACGGGCTCGGAGCTGTAAATTATGTTCAATGTTGTTGATATTTGCCTGGACTTTTTTCGATTTTTATTTTACTTTACCTAATTGATTTTCTACGTTAATTTAACTACTTAACTAATTTTTCTACTTTACTTGATTGTGACAATTAATTGACATATTGTGCTTTTGAAGTTGAGGATTGTATGTAACGACGCAGAAAACGGCTAGAAATCCCTACACTCGGACTGTATATGGAGTCATGGCTTGAATCAGATCTGGTTTTCACTCTTTCGCTCTCTCCACGATTCTCTCCTCTTGCGTTTATCTCTGTCCCTCACTTCCTCTGTCCCTCTCTCTTTCCCTCCCCCCTTCTGTCTCTCTCCCTCCTATCCATTATCTTTCTCTCTCCTATTCTCTCTCTCTCACACTCCTCTCCTCTGTCTCTCTCTCTCTCTCTCTCCCTTTCCTCCTCTAATTTTCTCTCCTTTTCCTCTTGCCTCTCTCTCTCTCTTCCCTCCCTTCCTTTATCTCCCCTCTCTCTCCCTCATCTCCTCCTCCCTCTCCCGCTATTCCCCTGCCATCCCCCCTCCCCCGCCAGGATGCGTTAGGCCTAAAGGCTTCCCGCGTGGCGGTAGAAGGCTCCTATTCCCGCCTATTTTGCGCCACGGCGCACGTGATGCAACGCTGCTGAGGCACAAACTCGGATCTTGCGCCTGGCTCCAAGCATTGCTAATGCCTAGATTATATTAAAAACTACTGTGTAAATGTAAATAACTAAGTTTGTGTAAATAATGCAGCGGAAATTGTAATGGTCTTGTGTACCCAACAGTAATTGTTGATTTTCTCATCAGAGGTTGGTAAATGTTTTATACCCAACATGCAAAGAAAATTAATTTTTGAATCAACACAAACATGGTAGAAAATAAATGTTCACTACCTTAATGACGACATTCTTAAGTGATATAGATAAAGCGACGGCATAAGGACAGTGAGAGTAATCTCGCGAAAAGAATGATCACGATTATTGTACGACGTCTATGGTAAAGAAATAAAGAATCCTACCAACATTGGTGAAAAACAATCTGGAAATTATCAATTGGCTGTGCATTAGATTCGCAATATTTTTTTTTTTTCATCGAAATTCTGTCTGGAAGCTTCATCAATTGTTCGATTTTTTTTTAGAAAAATCCCTTCCATGAATTTTCTGATTGATACCTACTTTGAGTTGACATGAATTGAATTATGATACTTTTGACACGTGGCGGATGAAAGAAATGTTTCTTTCTTTTGGCCGGATGAGTTTAAAATTCAAGACATGCGGCGGCTGTATTTAAGCCTCAGATAAAGTATCACGGACCATTAAGATCAAGTTAGATTCTTTATTGGTTTCCAGTCAATGTTACGAGCCCATAGCGAAGCTATTGCGTCATCATACATAAAGCTGGTCCTCAGTTGCGTCACCCCACATCCCATTCCGAGATCAACTAATCTCCAATTTAAAGCTCACAGTGAAATTCCACTGTCGGTTTAGGCCTATGGTCTCGGTTAGGCCGTGTGACTTGTTTGCCTAAGCATCGCTTCCTATGTAAGTCCACGAACGAACCGCCTGCATAGTGACAGCCATTCCGTGCTCTCTAATTACACAGCCTACTTACAGGCAGTTGGTCACAATGCTTAGGCCTAAGCTGTTACTAGGCCTCCTTACAATTCCGATACAAACTTGCTGATATAGCGCCTCCTTCTTGAGAGATTTTTTTCCTCTTTCGACCGCATTCACTGTAAAACTCGAAGATATTTGGCGTTCTTCTGTGAACGAAAGCACACGCGTAAAGTGTTTCCCTTTGCTGTTGGTGTTGTGGTTGTATAATTCATTTTCGTATAATTTATAAGCGCTTTATTTATCATCTTAGTGAATTATGTGTTTATATGCAGCAGTGTGAACTCAGATCTAAGAGTCACGTCTCCTCTCACAGTTCACATGAGCATAATAGGCTGTGAGTCGTGCAAGTTCATGCAAATGAGCGGCGCCTCTCAACCTCCAGACATAGTGTTGCTCCGGACCATGACTGCTTTGCTGTGAATTCGTGAAATAAGTATCTATTCACTAAGTCAAAAGTGAATGTTTGTTAGAATTTCGTGAACAACTTTATTAAGTTTTATCAAGTATTAGAACATTTTTCCTATAAGTCATTAGAAAGTGAGTTTATTATTATTAATATTGTTATTGTGTTAGTGCTTAAATTAATGCAATGATGAAGTATAACAATGATCATATAAGTATATTTAATATCATTCATAACAGATCATTTTACCCCCTGAAAATACGTCCCTCCGAGATTATTACTCTATAATAGATAGTTTGACTCATGTTCTTGCTATAACAAAATAGAAAAAAGTTGAGGTGGCAAGTATTATATGTTCGTCGCAAGCACAGCGTGGCCTTGACTTGGTTTAGTAAAATATTGGCAGAGAAAAATAATGAATGCATTTGTCCCATGTTTTTCATTCATGTAGTTTACCTTAGCCCTAACCGCCCTTGATCCATATACGATTCTACTCTCTTTCTGCCAGTGTTTAGTGACTACGCGTTAGAGAACGTGGTAGGACGTAGATTAGTAGTGCTCCTGGTTATCTAGTACGAATTGGAAATAAGTAATTATTTCCTGTTAGTTACTCCTTCAAAGAACATAATTCCGAAATGTATCGTGTATTATGCAGTCCAAAGAAGGCTCCTGAATTTGTCAGTCATTGTGCTGCTGCCATGGTAACCATTAATGATGGAACTACCAGTAAGCTTCCTGACTCCATGAACGTAACTGCGCAGAAGAAACCTTCCATTCGCAGTTGTTGTGATCTTACAAAAATCGTCCCATGCTTGAGCAGCTTTTCCGATTCTTTAGAAAGTCTGATACCACTCGACTCGATGTCTGAAACTTCTAATTATCTCGACCAACATCAAGATTCGTTGCGCTCTACATCTCCTAGTCAGCAGTCAGTTGATTCGTTTTCTTCATTCATGACCGCGGAAAGTGAATTTGAACATGTTTCATCATATTCGGAAGCGCATCCGAAGATTGTTGGTTCTATTGTTCTAGACGACCGAATTGAAAAACTGCATGATCTTCCCCCAATAGTGTACGAGGATATTGTTCCTTGCCTTCCTAAATCTTTCGTTGCAGATTGCCGCTGTAAACCTTGGCATCTTCTTACCTGTTTCGATTCTTACAAAGTTCACATTGATCGCGACGTTTCTTTGCCAAGGGAAGATATCGATGAGAGACACTCGGCAATTGACGACGATGACTTGTATGATTATTGTGTAGGTAACATGAAGAGAAAGTATTTATCTATTTGTGAATCTGAGCTTCCTATGACTCCAGTTCAGGGGCCAGTCCTACATTTAAGTAAAAATAAGATGAAACGTATACAAAAGAACTTGAAAAGCAATGGATTTGGCGTCCAAGTGATAGAAGCCATTCACCGTGTCTGTAGAGATAGTACCACGGCAACTTACTTGTATTTTGCCGACATCGTCCGGACCGAAGGTGAGCTTTATTGTGGTCACTTGTGCTGTGTCCTGCATTTTTACTGCATTTCTCCAAACGTGCTCCTAAGATATGGTAAGTAACATCAGTAAGTTGGCCATCGTTCTGTTTACGTCATTTTAACATTTATTTGGTATATTAATTTATCTTAAGCAGTCAATTTAGCTCGTGTACTTGTTGTCTAATTGGTGTTACATTTTCTTTTCAGTGCCAATCCCGGGTATTCCTCGCGAAGAACAGTCCTACAAGGTGGGCGACGTTCTTGGCAAGGGAGGTTTTGGGACGGTCTACCGAGGCTGGCGCTTAGGCGACAACACGCCAGTCGCCGTCAAACAAATCGCCAAGAACCGCATCCACAGTTTCGATATTGTAAGTACTAAACAATTTGTTTTTAAACATCCATTTTAGGAGAATTTATTTTCGTTTATTTCATCGTTAAATAACTGACTGATTTGTTTTGCGTACTAACGAGTGTCAAGATGTAGGCACTAGATGGCTTGCATATCGACTCAGTGTTGCTGATAATTCCTCAAGACCATAAGTTATCACGTGTACAATGGAAAGCTTCGTGTCCAACTTTCATTAATGCGATGCTACCTAATGATGTCACGAAGCTCTTCTTTATTGGACGACTAAGCCAAGGCTCAAGCATCCACTCATTGCCCGCCTCGGCGCATCTGCGTAAAAGCAAGGATAGTTGCGAAGGCCATCTAGTTGGCATGTGCTCGCCTAACTCGCATTTACCTTGAAATTCTTCTATGTCTATCGATGAGGCTGGGAAAAAGTCCACGCAGTTGCAGAATTTGCTAGACAACTCAACCTTACTTTTATAAGCGGACTGTTTTTAGTTATTGGTCTGTCCTTGGTTTCATCTTCACTGTATATAAAATTGTGGCGACTATTTCAATACTTGCAAGGTTATTGCTCAACGATTAACTTGAAATTATGTTCCCACGCACAAATAGCGTAATCACCAGGATCTTATCATAATATTTGTGTGACTGTGCTGTATGTATTTAGCTCATTATCGTTTTGGAAGTCGTTGAGCCTGCTTTATCTCGTTTGCTCTTCTGCATGTCGTTGTGCGATTCAGGAATGCTGCAGTATCTAAGCCGCCTATCAGACTTGGCTTGCTTAGTCGTCCTTGCTGGCAGACAGCATTACATGAGCCACGCAGTTTATTGCACAGTCACGCGTCAACGACTGACGATCGATCGCTACGTTGCATTTCCTCCTAATCCGCTGTGCCTGAGCATTACGTAACCTCAACTGGAGCTTTAGAGTTTCTCAAGACTTTAGACGAACTTATATTTTGTATGCGCGTCAACAGTCTATAAACTAACCGACGACAACCCGTTGCCGCGACACAAGTTTTAGGCGAGAGGAGTGGAGGGAGCGGAGCCCTAGACCGGGTCACCTACCTATAGGAACTGCGTCACTAGAGTCGCCAGCTCTCTCTCTCTTCCTCAGTGCGTTGTCGGTTGCTGGTTCATCCTTGGCGTAGCAACAGCGGAGGTGGCGGCCTTGCCGAGCTTCTCCTCGCTCATGTTGTCTCCGTGCGGCGTGATCTGCTGCTATATGCTCTTATCAAGTGCGCTTTGCCAACGTCATGTCCTCGTTGTTTTGCTATTTTTCTTGTTGATTTTAAAGAATCGACGAAACTAAGACATCCGTGATCAATTGGATTCCTGGCATTGACAGCATCGTCACGTTGACGGATGAGATTAAATTCTTATTTGAGTTTACTATTCAAGAGTGCGCACATGGATTGGTTCGTAGAAGGAAGGTGCGCATGATATCTTGTCACGTACGTGACTTTTCTTAAAAATAACTCAACCCGGATTCGAGTATAATATATATATATATATAAAATATTATAGACTAGTCCCGCCAGTTGGTATAACATACTGATATAGAGTTAACAGTGTTGCAACATGTGTTCTGAAACATTCTAATTTCCTTTTTGTACTATTCATCATTCGATTTCTCTTTAATCATCCTTGGACTCAATTCAGCTTCAGGGCCTTTTCTCGAACGATGTATCGTAATCAATTTCCTAAATTTTTTGAAAGAAAAATTATTTCTGTGTATTCTGTATCAATGATTTACGGTGAAGTTGAGCTCAGAAACTGATAACATGTGTAGCTCAGGAAGTTGCGTTTTGCCAACGCTTATCGTCCGTACGTATGTAGGAGGGAATTTGTAGTGGATTTTCCTCGTTTGTGTCCATGGCTCAGACTGCCACGTCAGTCCAACTCTTCCACCCACGAGACGTGAGACTCCCTAGTAATTGCGACACCATAGTCGCCAGGCATTGACGTTGAAATAACGTTGATTACGCGTTGTTTCAACTAGTAAACGTTATTTGCCTGTAGGGAATAGCGCTCGTGATTTCGAATCCCTGTTCCACGTCAACAGCTCTGAACTTGACTATATTGGCCCAAACAGCAATTATTATTGCAGTATACGAGAATTATTGTACGTCAGCCGGCATTATGACAATTAATTGTGCATTTTTATGATACGTTTGAAAAATTAAATGTTTGAACGAACAAAATGTTATGCCAATGTTTGCCGTCTACTAACACTTTGCGCATGAATTATAATCAAGCATGCATAAGCCTGAATAATGTATATGCTCATCAGCTATTGTTCGCCTATCAATTTACTAGCCTTTAAATGCTAAACGTACCGTGAAAGGCACGCGACATATTATATTCACAATTTTAAACCAAGCAATTATTTTTATTTATTTGATATTTCAAATCAGTTGCTCGAAAGTTGTTCTGCTTGTGTCGTTTTCGCTGCTTTTATCGCGGCCTTCTTGCGTACGTGCTCCATGCAACCTTGCAAGGCCGTTTGCCTTCACTCTGCCTTCACTTTCGCAAGCCGCTGCTCTCGGAACCTTCACTTCCGTCTTGCTCGTTTAGCCAGCCCCTAGCAGCGATTTAGTTTCTCTTAACGACTATTGTTTCCTTAATAGCTAAACTTTTCCTTAATTACTATAGCAGCAAGAGTATATCAATAATTTCTTAACTCATGGTTTCTGTTGTTCTTGAGTGCTTCGCTCTCGCATTCGAGAGATTTTTTGCTTTAAAAAAATATTTTTTTTTTTGCTTTCCGCTGTAGGAATGGGCGAATTTTTAATAGCCGAGGAACGTATCACATCGGCTTTTTTTCAATCATCATGAAGTTATCTCTAAATTTAAATGAATTTAACTTGCCTCTCGCTAAATATTCGCCATTACGAGATCGTTTTTCATCGCTTAAAATTTTACCGACGATGATCAGCGTCAAAAATATCGGCAAGCGCTTCAAATGATCATTCAAGCCATTATAATCAATCAATTTATACTACTTCTAGTGACTTTCAAATCAAGTTTCTGTTAATCTCCCCGGCAGTATTATTTGCGAACTTAATCAACGACTTGATCGTATTATCCACTACAAAGAAACTATAGCAATATGTAATATGTATATATACACTACAGAGAAACTACAGCAATATGTAATATGTATATATCAATACAGAGAAGCCACAGTTATAGATAATATTGTATATATCCACTGAAGAAACTACAGAAATATAAGTTTATGCGCGACCTAAAATCAATTCACCTCGGAGACAGCAGCTGCGGCAGCTACAGGTCGCGTGGCTAAGGCTGCCGCAGCCACGTCATCACAACACGACGCCTGGATTGCGTCAGGCTAGCCAGCCTCCCTTCGTCTATTGCGTCGTTAGCGAGCGCTGCGCAATTGCGCCTTTCGCGGACGGCCTTGCCAACGTACCTAAATATATCCAGCGAGTTTGCGGCGCACATGACCAGTCTTGTTATAGTCTCAATGTAGCATTGATTCTTTTTTCGTAGTCTTGTTTCTTATTTTATTCCGCCAACCTGAAAGCATTTGACTCTAGCGTTAGTTTTGAATATCAGGTGAGCTTTACCATGATTATTTAGACTTCTAATATGAATGCCTGCTAGTGAACTGGATTATTCGAAGAAGGTCATGAAAAAAATAACAATTGTATTCATCTATCGGCCAGATTTAGGCCAGCTCTGCCAAAGAGAAGAACCAATAGGTAGGTCTCGTATTCATGCGGTTATTCCCACTTGAATTGTAAATGAACTCTACACGAAAGGGCCCGACTTGATCTAACTTGTGTTCTATGTACGGCTCATCGGTCTTCCTGCGTCTACCTCGGTCCACTCGTCTCTCCTCCCCGTATAAATAATGCGCTTTCGTTTGATACTAGCATGTCTAGTGGAGATAGTATTGCTTGTGCAGCTACGTTCATGACGCCTTTAGCAAACTCAATAGGAAGATAGATACCATTCATTTGTATTAAAGGAATAGTAAATTCTCTCTTAGTTATATTAGTGCTTCCCTGAAGTCGATTATTGAAATGCGCTGCGCTAATATTTTTTAAGAATGAAAATCTTCTTGATCTCTTCACTTATTCTTCATAATAAATACAATGATAAAACATTGATACGGACACGCGTGTTTCACTGTACTAATTTTCACTTCATTGTTGTGTTATTTTGCCTTCTGTTTTGCTCCCTTCCATTCACAACAGGCATAAATTTTGTATAATAATTATGTATTCTCATCTTAGGACCGCGCTACCATTAAAGTCTGTATTGACAGAATATCGACTATTTTAAGCAAGACTTGGCAAAATGACGCATAAGATTATAAGTGATCTATTTATAGGTGTCACACTTGCGGCAAAGTTCTATTTTAGACTCTGTCGTCCTGCCGACATCGTTCATTAATGAGGAGACTCGCAGCTTGCTTATGTCCTACAGCTGTTGTTGCAGCTGTTGGTGGACTGTCTATAGTGACATGATTCTTTCTATTCTATTCATCATTCTAGTTTATTTTTGTTTGGAGCTCTCAGGCTCTATCTATTTCGCCATTCTCTTTATCGGTTACAAAGACATTTATCGGTTACAAAGACATTTATCGGTTACAAAGAATATAAAATGCAAGTACATTTTGTATTCGAGTTAGTAGTCAATTTCTTTAAATCAAAGCAACGTAAGTCTTGACTTGCTCGTCCAAAAAAAGTTCTAATTTTAGCGCACGAATAGCTATTTACACAACACCTGAATAAATCTGTTATGAGAATAAAATTATCGCTAAAGAAGCTAAGAAAATACCATCGCTCATACTCACCAGATGACGAATGTGTTATTCTACTATATGGTTCGCACGCGTGTGAATGCCTGCCTGAACTTGATAGGGTGTGCACATGCATGTTCTGCATACCAGGATGTCAAACATGCTTCGTTGGGTCCATGGTCTCTCCTCATCTCCGCCGCATTGTTGTCGTTTCCGTCTGATCAGCGACCGTGCACCGCCGC